CTTGGCGTATCATCGGAAGAGGAAGGCGGCGACGACGGCGACGGGTTCAAAAGTCTTGAATCGCCGCACGGGCGTCGAGGGGGGATGCACAGGCTGCTGTAGGTACGTTAGAAAAGGGATTGAAGTAAAAAATGAAGACGACGAGACTGACCTTGTTCACTCGGCGTATCATCGAAAGAGCAATGCGACGGCGACGGCGACGCGACCCGAAGTCTTGAATCACCTCACGGGCGTCGGGGGGGGGGGATGCACAGGCTGCTGTAGGTAGGTTAGAAAAAGGGATTGGAGTAAGAAATGAAGACGACGAGACTAACCTTATCGAAGTCGGCGTACCATCGAAACAGGAAGGCGACGGCGACGGCGACGGGTTCAGAAGTCTTGAATCGCCGCACGGGCGTCGAGGGGGGATGCACGGGCTGCTGTAGGTATGTTAGAAGAAGCCATTGAAGTCAAAAATGAAGCTGGCGAGACTGACCTGGTTAACTCGGCGTATCATGGAAAGAGCAAGGCGACGGCGACGTCGACGAGTTCAGGAGTCTTGAATCGCCTCACGGGCGTCGAGGGGGGATGCCCGCGCTGCTGTAGGTGCGTTAGATGGAGTGACTGAAGTAAAAATGAATACAAAAACGCTTACCTTGTCCAAGTCGGCGTATCGAGCCAAGAGCAAGGCGACGGCGACAGCGACGCGAGCCCAAGTCTTGAATCGCCTCACGGGCGTCGAGGGGGGATGCACAGGCGGCTGTAGGCGCGTTAGAAAAAGGGATTGAAGTAAAATATGAAGACGACGAGACAGACCTTGTTAACTCGGCGTATCATCGAAAGAGCAAGGCGACGGCGACGGCGACGAGTTCAGGAGTCTGAAATCGCCTCACGGGCGTCGAGGGGGGATGCACAGGCGGCTGTAGGCGCGTTAGAAAAAGGGATTGAAGTAAAATATGAAGACGAGACAGACCTTGTTCACTCGGCGTATCATCGAAGAGCAAGGCGACGGCGACGGCGACGAGAACTCCTGAATCGCCTCACGGGCGTCGAGGGGGGATGCCCGCGCTGCTGTAGGTGCGTTAGATGGAGTGACTGAAGCAAAAATGAATACAAAAACGCTTACCTTGTCCAACTCGGCGTATCGAGCCAAGAGCAAGGCGACGGCGACGGCGACGCGAGCCCAAGTCTTGAATCGCCTCACGGGCGTCGAGGGGGGATGCACAGGCGGCTTTAGGCGCGTTAGAAAAAGGGATTGAAGTAAAATATGAAGACGAGACACACCTTGTTCACTCGGCGTATCATCGAAGAGGAAGGCGACGGCGACGGCGACGAGAACTCCTGAATCGCCTCACGGGCGTCGAGGGGGGATGCCCGCGCTGCTGTAGGTGCGTTAGATGGAGTGACTGAAGCAAAAATGAATACAAAAACGCTTACCTTGTCCAAGTCGGCGTATCTTGCCAAGAGTAAGGCGACGGCGACGGCGACGAGTTCAAAAAGTCTTGAATCGCCGCACGGGCGTCGAGGGGGGATGCACAGGCTGCTGTAGGCGCGTTAGAAAAAGGGGTTGAAGAAAAAAAATGAAGACGACGAGACTGAAGTGGTTAACTTGGCGTATCATCGAAAGAGGAAGGCGAACGACGCTTCGGGACAACGGTGGAGGCCGCCACGCACTCGATGTCGAGCACGCAGCGACCAAGCCCACGCGCCGCCATGCCCCCGAAGCCGGGGTCACAACGACGCTTCGGGACAACGGTGCAAGCCGCCACGCACTCGATGCCGAGCACGCAGCGACCAAACCCGCGTCGACATGCCCCCGAAGCCGGGGACACAACGACGCCTTGCTTGACTCAGAGTGGATCTTGAGGGAAAGGGTTAGACTAGAGAAAGAGAGTAAGAATGGTCGTAACTTACCTTGCAGGGAGGTGGTGGGAAGAGAGTTGCGTGGGTTTGTCGTCGATACCCCTGCCAAACAAACCCACATCGGAGAATTCCGTCTCGCTGGGGCGTCATCTCTCCAACCGAATTAGGCACGGGCGTCTAATTCCTTTCTGTCCCGAACCATATGGTCACTTCGCATTAGGTCCGCCACCTTCTAGATTCTGCACCCAAAACTCTCAAAACATGGGGATTAAGCTCGTTTCCGAGAACTTCATAGCTTCGTACCAGGTTTACCGCTCGCGTTGAACGTTCGTCAGCAGGTGTATCGTTCAAGTTCTATACACTCAATCTTTTGAATGCAGGTCGACGTCTGTTCCCTCATCTGCACGACACAACCTTTACCGAGGAGAACACCGCCTGGCAGCACGGACAAAGCTCCGGAGATGCTGTGGCGCCCGGGTGGGGTAGGACGATGGCAGATGTTGCAGCCAATCGTTCGGGCCTTGGAGCAAAAAAAACAGACAATACATTTCATTGAGGTCCTACTAAGTAACTTGTTATAAATCGGATTCTGGAATCTTATGAGCACGAACGTCCAAAGCGAGGTCGTAGGCGGCGCAGCTGACACCTAGTATGGATCGGGAATCCCGATAGTAGCTGTAGTCGTTGACGAATACTAGATACTAATGGCGGCCGTGGTATCATTGGCAAAATGCAGCAACCATGTGCTTGACTGATGCGGATTCGGGATCATGTGAGTCCCACCCAGTCTCACTCTACTGTCTCTACGATGGCTCAATTCTCCCCAGAAAATTGGACAAGCATCCTCACGCACTGCGTGCCCTCCACTATCGTGGCGTTTGCACTTGTTTCTCGGGCTAGTGCCCGTGTCGCCCGCCCCGAATTGTTTTATTGTGTCCGTCTTAGTTTTGAACGTGCACCTCTCTTCTTTCGTACCTTGCAAGAGACCCCGATTTTGGGGCGCCTGGTCAGTCTTGCCTTTGCGGTCCATATGGTGCTAATCTTTTTTCGTACGCCAGGTTTCCACGTTGATCTTGCTGGCGTCGCCCGAAGATTCTACCGCCCGTCATGAAGGAGAGGCGTTCAAAGCAGCTCTGGCCAGCATGGAACGCCTGCACAAGCTCCGTATACATTGTCGTGTGGACGTAAATGCCCTTGCGCGCACCCTGCGCGCACCCATCCATTATTTTCTCTACGCGTTCGATATCTGCGACGACATCATGGCCTTCTTGGACTCGACCCCGACCATACATGCCCTTACCCTATACGGATCCCTCGGCGGTCGTGATGCCCCACTCCCCTTGCTTCCTAACCTCGAATCCGTTCAGGCCCTCCTGGAGGACTTGTTTGTTCTCATTGCCGACCGAGCAATTCTCGACATAAAAATCAGCTATCAGCCTGGCGACCTCAGTCGCCGACCCCGTAGACGCTTGCATGATTTCGTCTGCCAGAGCATGTTCTACATCCACCATCTCGAAGCCATGGCTTGTCAATTCGTCGACGAACCAAACCTCAGGCACTGGATTCCCTACGTCAGACAGCTCAGCATATCGCAAGACGAAACTTGGGGAACCGATGTGGCCTCGGTGAGTTGGCTTCGACCTCTAACCACCCACACCTTATGGGCTATCATTTAGGCTGAGTATCCCCGGCTTGCTGTCGATCTGTGTAAAAAACTGAAACTCTTGAGCGGGCTCAGCTGCCTGACGGTAGTCACCGCATTTGGGCCTCACCAGCCTGCGGAGCGCATCTTTATCGAGGCTCTTCGAGAGCACTATCCGACCCCAGAGCTCGAACCCCTCACAGTCGTTTTTCACACAGCACAGCAATGTTTCGTTTGGAACAATTATCGCGACGCAAGCCTCGAACCCGTGGTTCGCAGTGCCGACCTCTGCGACGAGCATCATTGGGCAGATGGTTCGGGACTGGTTCGGGCATCCCGCACTCCAACATCGTATTGGGATAACGCCTGCGCCCGCCTGGGTGCCCCGATTTATCTCTTGCATGATGTTGACCCAGCAGCTGATGAGGTGGCGATGAGGGGCGCCAGATACGCCCGCCATGGATATCGTTGCTCCAACTACTGGTGGGACGGAGATAAGGGTGGCAAGCCGATCCCTACAGCAAATCCTGGCCGTTTGCCACTGGAAACGGAGGTGGTCGTAGCGGCATGACACTGCTATCAAACTCTACAATCCTTTCGCTGTGTGCCGGGGAGCGGGACCATATATATTTGTATGTCATGAAGGTGTCGCCCTAGTTACAGCTACAAACAAGGCATAATTGCACAAGTGTGGTTTGCATTGGAACCCCAACAGTAAATCCTTTCGCGACTCGCGAAACTCTGGTAAGCACCTCCTGTGGCGGGAGCCCTCCCAGTTGGCTGGTTTTTGATGTCTACAGCATCATTTAGTAAAATGGAAGGCGACTGCGGCACTGACAACGATAGCAGTCCGGTACCTGAACTGATCCATCTGGTCGATTCAGATGATGAAAGAGAATCGGGTACGTGCCACGAAGTCAAACAGCTATCTTACCGTAGTTTGTTTCTGGGAATCTAAACTGTGCACTGTAGATGTGGTCGTCTGCCGGTGTGCGACGGCGGCACTCACCGAATCAGTACCAGCCGGTCCCGGGGCCATAACAAATCTAGGGAACAGTTCCCACTACGCTTCGTTGAAAGCGGTCCATAACGCCAGGATCGAAAAAATGTGGTCGAAGGGTAGCTGCGCGCGATGCGCCTTGAAAAAATAGATACATAGTCCTGCATAGCGATCGGGTGCTGCCGATCGCTTCCCTTTTGGGTTCCGTTCGGTGCTCACGATCGGACAAGTTGTCGGTCCTCCCAATGCTGGAAAATAACAATACATTCTGGGGCGCCAGCACCCCCATCTGCATCAGTTATTCGGTGTGCTTGTGTTATTAGTGAGGCGGAAAGGGAGGAACAAGAAGAACGTCTTCGCATGATAGGGAATCGGTTCGTCACAGTGTAGCGGTTTTTTCTTCTGTGCCTATTTGTGTTGCGAAATAATAAAACAATGTTCTGACCATCATATGTGCCATTCCACCTTGACTTCTTCTGGCTCTCATAACCTTAAGCACAAACCACCCTCAGTACCGGCTCGATGGTGGATCGTCCATGCCTGCTACTCTTAATAGATTTTGTAAGTCTATGGCAGGAGTTGCCCGTTCAACCCGGGCTCGAGCCATGATTAGGATTAACGGTATCCCTTTTTCCTGGAGAATATTGAACTGATACCGACCGAACGAACCTGGTATTTCTGTTCAGGAAGGTAGCTCAAATGCCTCCCACATGAGGCGATCTCCGCATCTCAGGTGAGTAAGATGTGCTGTGGGTGTGTTCCAAAAGGGACCCAATTCGACTTTCGCCTTTGGTGTGACACGAAAATGTACATGGGATTAATGGGGGGCTTTGAATTGATCCACAATATGTACTACCAGATACCACCTTTAGTTTGATTACCAGCTCTCGGACGAACCCTGCAACCTATCGTCCCATACCCGCGTCTTTCCCGCTGCTGAGATCTGTGGATTCGCGAGTCGGTACTCGTGCATGAGACGGAGCAGAAATTGGATACGAAAAGGCTCACCTTCTCCAAGTCTGTGTATCGAGGCAAGAGCAAGGCGACGGCGACGGCGACGAATGCAGACGTCTTGAATCGCCGCACGGGCGCCGAGGGGTGATGCACAGGCTGCTGTAGGTACGTTAGAAAAAGGGATCGAAGAAAAAAATGAAGACGACAAACTGAACTGGTTAACTTGGCGTATCATCGAAGAGGAAGGCGACGGCGACGGGTTCAGACGTCTTGGATCGCCGCACGGGCGTCGAGGGGGGATGCACAGGCTGCTGTAGGTACGTTAGAAAAAGGGATTGAAGTCAAAAACGAAGACGACGAGACAGACCTTGTTAACTCGGCGTATCATCGAAAGAGCAAGGCGACGGCGACGGCGACGGTTTCAAATGTCCTGAATCGTGGGGCAGGCGGCGAAGGGAGATCCACTTGCTGCTGTAGGTGCATTAGATGGGGTGATTGAAGTAAAAAACGAAGACGACGAGACAGACCTTGTTAACTCGGCGTATCATCGAAAGAGCAAGGCGACGGCGACGGCGACGAGTTCAGGAGTCTTGAATCGCCTCACGGGCGTCGAGGGGGGATGCACAGGCGGCTGTAGGCGCGTTAGAAAAAGGGATTAAAGTAAAATATGAGGACGACGAGACAGACCTTGTCGAGTGGGCGTATCATCGAAAGAGGAAGGCGACGGCGACGGGTTCAGAAGTGTTGAATCGCCTCACGGGCGTCGAGGGGGGATGCACAGGCGGCTGTAGGTGCGTTAGAAAAAGGGATTGAAGTCAAATATGAGGACGACGAGACAGACCTTGTTAACTTAGCGTATCATCGAAAGAGCAAGGCGACGGCGACGGCGACGGGTTCAGAAGTCTTGAATCGCCTCACGGGCGTCGAAGGTGATGCACGCGCTGCTGTAGGTGCATTAGAAAAAGGGATTGAAGTAAAAAATGAAGACGACGAGACTGACCTTGTCGAAGTCGGCGTATCATCGAAAGAGGAAGGCGACGGCGACGGCGACGGGTTCAAAACTCTTGAATCGCGGGGCGGGCGGCGAGGCGACGGGTTCAGAAGTGTTGAATCGCCTCACGGGCGTCGAGGGGGGATGCACAGGCGGCTGTAGGTGCGTTAGAAAAAGGGATTGAAGTCAAATATGAGGACGACGAGACAGACCTTGTTAACTTAGCGTATCATCGAAAGAGCAAGGCGACGGCGACGGCGACAGGTTCAGAAGTCTTGAATCGTCACACATGCGTCGAGGGGGGATGCGCGCGCTGCTGTAGGTGCGTTAGAAAAAGGGATTGAAGTGTACACAAAAGCCTTACCTTGTCGATGTCGGCGTATCGAGGTAAAGCAAAGCATGGGTCCCTCTGTTGTCCACCCGCAAGCGACTGAGCCGGCAGTGGCCTCTGGACACTGCTTCGGGACAACGGTGGAAGCCGCCACGCACTCGATGCCGAGCACGCAGCGACGAAAACCCGCGCCGCCATGCCCCCGAAGCCGGGGACACAACGACGCTTCGGGACAACGGTGGAGGCCGCCACGCACTCGGTGCCGAGCACGCAGCGACCAAACCCGCGTCGACATGCCCCCGAAGCCGGGGACACAACGACGCTTTGGTACAACGTTGGAGGCCGCCACGCACTCGATGCCGAGCACGCAGCGACCAAACCCACGCGCCGCCATGCCCCCGAAGCCGGGGTCACAACGACGCCTTGCTTGACTCAGAGTGGATCTTGAGGGAACGAGTTAGACTAGAGAAAGAGAGTAAGAATGGTCGTAACTTACCTTGCAGGGAGGTGGTGGGAAGAGAGTTGCGTGGGTTTGTCGTCGATACCCCTGCCAAACAAACCCACATCGGAGAATTCCGTCTCGCTGGGGCGTCATCTCTCCAACCGAATTAGGCACGGGCGCCTAATTCTTTTCTTTCCAAACATTGAGGGCGCATTGCCGCTAATAGTGACGAGCTGCACCGACGGCTCGGGCTTTCGGGCGGTTACCATAGGCCTCGAGTCCCGCCTCCCCCCCTTTTTTTATTCGTTTTATTTGCACCAACCGCGATCCCGCCCTTTGAAGCACAGTATGCCTGCCAATCCTCCTTCTGACACGATTGGCTCCGATGCCAAAGAGCTTACCCTGCCTCTCTGGTCAGTCGCGTATTACGCATCATACTTATCAACTCTTTCTGAAGCGCTGATGGTGTGTTTTAGCCACCAATCTGTGCTCGACAAGTGGAAATCCCTAGACCCTGAGACGATGTATGTCACGAACGTAGCTGGGCCCCTCTGACTTTCCCTGCAGCGTGATCAAGGCTCCCGTCACGATTCGACAATCAGATTTTCTTCGACTTGCCTCCGCCGACAAATTTCTCAACGATAGCCTGGTCGAGGTGGGTCTCAAGTAAGCAGCGCCTGCCCGTAAAGGTTGTCTCGTATCGACTTCGTGTTCAGGTTCTGGTTACAAGACCTCGAGAAGGCCCATCCAGAGCTCGCCTCAAAGTTCCACATCTTCACCCCATTCTTCTACACCAAATTACTCCGGTGTGTTTACGTCCGATGCCTCCCTTCCGTATGGCTCATTTGTTTAAAAGAGGATATGATCATGTCCGGAAATGGGTGAAGTTCAAGCTGCTAGACAAGAGGTACATCCTCGTGCCTATCAACGATGCTGAAGCGTAAGGGCTAGTCGCCCTTCGATGGACATGGCTAACGCAGCCACAGCGTGCATTGGTACCTGGCAATTATATACCTCCCGGAACACATCGATTCCCCATGTTTACTGCGCAAGGAGCGGCGTTCGAGACGAGACATCACGCCGGCAGCTACTCAGTGAGTTTACTGCTCAAGTGTTATCCTCACCGCGTATTGAATCTGTGCTCAGATGCTACATCTGGACGTTGGATTCTCTGGGCCTCCAACATAACAGGACCGTTCGAGTGCTCCGGACGTATCTGGCACAGGTCGCGCACGACCAGAAGATACCATGGGACATTGACCCGACTGGGAAAATGATACCGGTGACTTCCACATGTATGGCTAAGACACGAACCCCTGCCCTGACTCACTGCCTAGGTTCCGAAACAACCCAATTCTCATGAGTGTGGTGTTTACCTTTTGCATCTGGCTCGAACTTTCATGAATCACGCGGAGCGCTACCGACATCTTTTCGTTGTATGTCATGTCCCTTGTCCTCCCTTCCCGCGACATCGGTGACGTGTTTACTCAAGACGAACATTGAGAGTTCGATGTGGGATGAACTGCCGCATCAAATCTTTGAGGCGCACTCTTGTTAACCGAATCGACGCGCTGTCGTCGGGACACCAGCTCCGTCTAACTCATCAAGAGCGTGCTGTTCAAATCCATGACGCTCCGGACTCCGACGTGGAATGCAGTGAGGTTCAACCCGCCTCTAAAGTTAACATGTCCATCCGCCGTGTCTCCACTGCACCGGTGCTCGAAGTGAGGAGTGCCACTGACGACGACCCCACCACATCAGCACCACCACGAATCGACGACGATGCTTCGGATACGGACGTGGAATGCAGCGAGGTCCATCCCGCTTCTAAATCCAATGCCAACGGCTGTACCGCACAGGTACACCAAGCGAGCAGTGCTAGTGACCCCATGATATCACCACCCACAGCAGCTACGACCCAGCTCTCCCCAGACGCTCACAGCAGCGCCGTGGCTGGTATAGAGGAAGCGCAGGCGTTGACCAGTTTAAAACGCCTGCGAATTACCGGTCCAACGGACTGTGAGGCACGTCCGGCCCAGAAATGGCGACTCCTAGGGGAATCCCTTGCCACCACAGAGATCGGGCCCAACGAAACGCTGCCGGCCGCCTTGATGACCACCCCTACACAGAAGAAAATCAAGCCGCGTCATCGGCGAGGCAAATCGGCCCGAGATAAGTGGGCGAGGGTGGCCAAGTGGGAAGTTGCACAAGAGGTGGCAGCGGCCAAAGCAGAGCATCAGTTCCTGCCTGGGCCTGGGAGGTAGACGAAGGTGGAGACACACCCGCTCCAGGATTAGTAGAAGTACTGTAAACGCCTCGCATTGGACTGCTGCTCCATTAACGCGCCCTCCTTATTACGAACCGAGCTGCCCGCGCTTTATCTTTATCATTACGTTCCTAATCGACCACCATCTGGACTCTCATTAATGAATTTCCAATTAAATCAAAAACAAGGGTCGTTGCAGTTGGCTAACGCGACGCGACATCTCAACCAACAGTCGACTAGAGTTCGTCAGCGAGCAGCTTGAGGTGGGGGAATACGCAGTAAACCGACTTTTCCAATTGTGGGGACCGTGTATACCTCCTTCTCCTCCAGTGTGGCAGTGTCGGTTTTTCGCGCAAACGCCGAAGCATCACGTGACACGACCGACAACAAAGCCGCCGGCAGCCGCTGGCGCTGTCTGTGCGCCTTGATCCTCGTTTCTACTGCGTCCTCGTTGCCTTGACGCGTCGGGCGAGTTTCCAATGTCCACGCCCTCTCTGAGTGCGGTGCCCAGGGAGAGTCTCAATAGAATCAATACAACTTCTTTCAATTGAATTATTAATAAACTTTTTTTGCAGAAGACAAGACCACTACTTATATAGTGCGCAGCGTTCCAACTGCGTCT